GGAGAACGAGAACGACTGAATGGTCACTAATTACTAGAGGAGTTATGATCTGAACCCTTTCTCAGTCAATATACATATATATGTGATAAGAATAACGATAATTAAAATGTTACAAGGCGTAGAGTTGAAGTGGATAAATTACAGAATTATTAAAGACTGTTTCATAAGTGGATTGATGACAAAAATGTTTTAAAAATGTCAAGTGTTGTTGAAAATTTTTTAAAAATTAGGAGTACGATTATGATAAGAATGAAGGTGTGAAGTGAAGTGGAAAGAATTCAAGTGGTAAAATAAAATAAAAACAAGAAAGAACACTACTATGGCCAAGGTAAAGAAAGGGGCCTGAACCTTTTCGAGTAGTATTTGGTCTCTAGTTAGAATGTAGACCTTGACAAATTCATGTGCTTGACCTGACTTTTAAAACTCCTGTGAGAAATAAAGAGGTTTTTGGAATATATACAAGAATTTTATCCCACGTAACCATACTTTAACGTCGCATTACTGGTATATAGATGTTTATTTCAAAGTACGCATATGCACTTCTCACCATTCTGATTGATAGCAAGAGGCAGATTCGTTTTGGGCTGCTGCAATTTAGATGAAACCAGACTGGCTAACACTACCTCGAGAAAACGCTTACGTTTTTTATTTATTTGAAACTTGAAAACAAAAAGTGACCATAAAAACACCAAACAGGTTTACACTAAATAAATAATTATTAAATATTGGAACGGAATCTTTCGAAAACATCCACCGTTTCAAGGTCGGCGTTCAAGGTCGCTGCGCACGTTGGTCGCATTATCGGAATCGGTATTCACATAGCATGTCATAATACTTTAATCTGATGCGTGTTTCGGAAGAAAATGAGTTGTAGTAGCCACCACAAATTACTTTCTGGGTTAATTTGATAAATGAGTCGTAGTAAGATGGCGTTAAGAGTGATGATGAGTCTGTTAATTAACCCAAAATAGCTTGACGATGAGGGAGGCAGTCAGGGTGGCTGTAGAATAATTTCGAGGTAGACTAATAGGAAATTCTGCGAGAAAGTTGTGTGGAAATACATCCCATTTCCCCGAGATTTCTATTGGAATAAAGATGACCCAGAAACTACTCATCGATATCCCCTTTCAGTTTCCTTAAATTCCCCCGAAACCACTAAGTCTCCACACGTATGCTAAAATTTTCCTGTAGTTTTTATAATGCGTTTCTACATATATAGATAGTCCTATTTCTCCTCAAGTATTCGAATACGTAGATATAGCAAATTTTCTAAGCTATCTCTACATATGATCCTATCCAGAATGAATTTAGAGCTTTTGAGGGAGAAAAAGTGCATTAACCACAAATTTCCACATGGTTTTACCCCAGAGTTTTAATTCGGAAATGACTTGGCAAATCTAAGATATTAGGTGAAGCGTGAACCAATAATGCAATACATGCGTGATATATGATGTACTTAGTTGCTGCAGCTCTGAGAATAATAGTCTGTGTCTCCCAAGTGTCCTGCCTAAATCCATTGAAAAAAACTACAACGGGCCGGTTCTATCGGAATCGGCCAACTAGTTCCAACATCAAGTCCCCCACCAGCAGACGGTTTCACGTCAACTACCCCACAACACTCTGAGGTTGTTAGACTCACTGTCAGTTGCCTATATAGCAATGTGAGGGGGCTGAGAGGGAAAGTAGGTGAACTCCGAAATCTCCAAGCACACCTTCAACTGAAAATAATCATTCTTACTGAAACGTGGCTAAACCCCACTATCGCCGACAATGAAATCAGTATAGGTGATATGGTACTGGTCAGGAGAGACAGGGATAATAAGGAAGGAGGGGGAGTTGCTATATACTTTGATAGGCAACTTAAATGTGTGCGCGCAACGGACCCACCACTTATCGAACTCCCAGACTCCATATGGTGTCATTTCACCGTAGGCCACACCAAGCACTTACTGGGTGGCATCTACCGATCTCCCACCTGTGGGGCAGAGCACAATCAGCTACTGCTCAGCACTATCACAGGAATACGAGATTTGGGTTACGACCAAATCACCATAGCTGGAGATTTCAATGCTCCATCACTGAACCTTGGCTCCGGGTGTGCTAAGGGAAAATTTGGCCGAAACCTACTGCAAACTATTCGAAACACGGGACTGACTGAGAATGTTGGAGACGACACTAGGTGGGGCCCTAGTGGAAAGTCATCAAAACTAGATTATATTCTAACTAGTGACCAGCTACTCGTCGAAAAGGTCCAGATCATGACTCCTCTGGGAAGCAGTGACCATGCAGTCATAGGTTTCGATCTTGTCCTCCGTGAGCGTTTGCAATGGGATGTTACGCGACCATGTCTGTGCTACAGCAAGGCTGACTATGCTGAAATGCGGAGGCTCTTGTCCGACGCAGACTGGCCCTTAGCATGGGACGACCTATCTGTGGATGAACACTGGGAAGTGGTAAAAAAGATTATCCATGCAGCAATCTCGGATACCGTCCCTTTAGTCACAACACAGCCTAAGAGAAAGACGTCATGGTTGAAGAGAGGCACGCAACGTATTCTGCAAGCAAAGCGGAGGGCTTGGTTTACGTGGCGTGTATCTAAGAGTCAGACCGACCATGATGCATACCTCGAACTCAGGAACCGGTGTAATGCAAGAGTCAGGAGGGACAGAAGGTCATTCCAGGCTAACCTTGCTAAAAAACTCCTATCAAACCCTAAAAACTTGTACCGATTCATGTCGGAAAGAAAACCGACAAACCAAGGGGCATGCGCCTTAGTAGGCCCAAACGGTCAATATCTCACTAGTCTGGAGATGGCTGAAACATTCAGTTCAGCCTTCGCTAAACAGCTAAACAGCAATGTGGATATTACAGTTACGGACCAAAATGGTGGCACCACTATTTCAGAGGAGGAAGACCTAGCGACTACTCCCCAAATAAACCCCGCAATAGTACTAAGGAAGCTACAGCGACTCATACCTGGGAAGTCCCCAGGTTGTGATGACATCAGGCCATCTGTTCTGAAACAGTGCGCCGAGGCTCTCTGTAGACCCCTGTGCGACTTGTTCCAACACTCAATGGATTCGGGGACCCTGCCAAGGGAGTGGAAAAGAGCCATCCTTTCTCCAATCTTCAAGGGTGGGGACAGGCAAAACGCTGCTAGCTATAGACCAGTAGCTCTACTCCCAGTGGTATCAAAAGTACTGGAAAGTATTATTGACGACCACATCAGGGAATATTTCGATAGGACTAATATACTGCATGAAGCCCAACATGGTTTCAGAAAAGGCAGATCCTGCGTCACTAACCTACTGTCAGCTTGGGACGACTGGACATCATGCTGGGACTTGAACGTACCAGTCCATGTGGTCTTCCTAGACTTTGAGAAGGCATTTGACACTGTTCACCATGACCTTCTCCTACATAAAATAAGACAGGCAGGCATAGGTGAGCCACTTCTGTCATGGTTGAAGGACTACCTAGCCGACAGGCAATTTTGCACTAAGGTTAACCGAGTCCGATCATCTTGGCACAGATCGTCATCAGGAGTGTCGCAGGGTTCTATCCTAGGACCACTGATGTTTTTGATTTTCATCAATGATCTACCACGCCGTCTGAGCTGCCCGACTCTCCTGTACGCTGACGACGTAAAAATATGGAGGGCGATAAAGTGTCCGGAGGACTCAGATAGGCTACAGGAAGACCTAAACCTTCTGGAAGACTGGGCGGTGGCCAGTGGCATGACTTTCAACTTGAAAAAGTGCAAAGTAGTGAAGTTGCGCACCTGTAGACTGCAGAATGCAAGTTACACCCTGTGCAATGAAAGCTTGTCCTGCACAACGTCGGAACGCGACTTAGGTCTAGTTCTAACGGAAAAAATGGACACAAGCGTAAATTACACAGGGGATGTAGCGAGGGCATATGCGGTCATACACTTTACGCATAGACAGTTAGGTGCACTCACTCCTGAGCTCTTTCTAATGTTGTACAAAACATACGTCAGGCCACACCTTGAGGTGCATAATATTATTGCACCCCCAATGCTGAGAAGAGATGCCAACCTCTTGGAAAGAGTCCAACGACGGGCAACAAAAGGAGTGGTTGGTCTCCGAAACAAACCATATGATGAAAGGCTGAAGAAATTAGGCCTGTTCACACTTAGTTACCGTCGGCTTAGGGGGGATTTGATTACTGCCTACAAAATAACAAATGACCAGAATCACCCAAACAAAGGTGTTCTGCCATTGAGTAGGTATAGGCTTCCACGTGGAAATCCCAGAAGGATAGCTCACCAGAGGGCAAGGACCCGGGTGCGCTCCCACTTCTTTTCACTGCGGGTTTGTCGTCCCTGGAATTCCTTACCGGCAGATGTAGCTATGGCACCGTCTTTGGACGCCTTTAAGCGAAGGCTGGACAACCATGCAGCGATACAAGGACTGCATCCAAATGGCCTATCTCCTTAAAATCGCATTTACCAATCAGGGTAGATAATTAAACTCGTCATTTTACTTCTTTACATTCTCTCCCGTCTTACTCTCCTGACAACTTATTAATATTATAATTACTTTTATTATTATTATTACTATTACCGATATATATATTATTCTTCAAACTTCATGAGCTGACTGTTGTTACGTTTCCTATTTTCGTTTCTGTCTCTTAGTCTGAATAGCTTCACTAATTATATCTATTATTATTATTATTACTATTATTATTATTATTATTATTACTATCTCTTTTCTCTTGTCGACAATACCGAAGGACTAACTGGCGAAAGGATCAACTCCAATCACAGTAGTAACAGTCTTAACATACCTCATACTACAAACCACATATAATTAATCCCAGCACTACTCCCTTTGGAGTCAACCAAAGCTACGACAGTCGAGTGGCGGGACAAGCTACGCAGAAGTTTACCGAAGATCAAGAACCTATACCTCACAATCAAGAAGCGAGCACAAAGAAATCAAATTGGTTTATACTAGCTCGTAAAAACGATATTGGATATTGGTTTCAAGGTCGGCGTTCAAGGTCGCTGCACACGTTGGTCGCATTATCGGAATCGGTATTCACATAGCATGTCATAATACTTTAATCTGATGCGTGTTTCGGAAGAAAATGAGTTGTAGTAGCCACCACAAATTACTTTCTGGGTTAATTTGATAAATGAGTCGTAGTAAGATGGCGTTAAGAGTGATGATGAGTCTGTTAATTAACCCAAAATAGCTTGACGATGAGGGAGGCAGTCAGGGTGGCTGTAGAATAATTTCGAGGTAGACTAATAGGAAATTCTGCGAGAAAGTTGTGTGGAAATACATCCCATTTCCCCGAGATTTCTATTGGAATAAAGATGACCCAGAAACTACTCATCGATATCCCCTTTCAGTTTCCTTAAATTCCCCCGAAACCACTAAGTCTCCACACGTATGCTAAAATTTTCCTGTGGTTTTTATAATGCGTTTCTACATATATAGATAGTCCTATTTCTCCTCAAGTATTCGAATACGTAGATATAGCAAATTTTCTAAGCTATCTCTACATATGATCCTATCCAGAATGAATTTAGAGCTTTTGAGGGAGAAAAAGTGCATTAACCACAAATTTCCACATGGTTTTACCCCAGAGTTTTAATTCGGAAATGACTTGGCAAATCTAAGATATTAGGTGAAGCGTGAACCAATAATGCAATACATGCGTGATATATGATGTACTTAGTTGCTGCAGTATCTTTTTGAAGGGTTTCCAGTCAGCTTATTGTTGGTGGCTGCTACGGCTGAACTTCTCTAGCTAGGGGATATTGCCAACAGTCCATTAAATAGCCGCGGTAACTATTCACATTGCTCGGAAACAAAGTTTCACTCCTTTCAACCCACAATATGTTGAATTTACAGAATATTTAATCTATTATAGGTTCATTAACTTCTAAGTATAATTTCAATTACGTTATTTTTATTCACCCGTAAATGAATGAGTAATTATATTTTGTATAGATATAGTGTTTGGGTAGCTTAACTTAATAATTTTAGAAACTGCTTTGAAATATTGATACCGTCCCCAGAGTCGCCAAATTTACTGGGATTCCACCAAAGCATGTCAGAATTGGGTATTACGACTTCTGCAAAATCCACTCAGTATATGGAGTTTTCTCGCTACATCATTAGAGAATTTGCAGAGATATCGGCACAAATTCGTGCAGATGACTTTTTATAATTTTGCTCAGTGAGCCATTTTATGACACGGATACTATAATTCAGTTGGGTCCAGGATCCTTTTATGAAGTCTGCATATATTCCAGTTATGGAGTCAACGCATTCACTTGAATATTCAAATGTTCTTTAGTCGTCTGTGGACTATGACTTGTCCTTTGGACACTTCTCACTGCTCTTGTATCTCGTCAAGTTATCTTTTTTTTGATTACAGCGTGATTCCACACTGTATTTTTTGGTACAGGTATGAAATTTTCAGCATGTGATATCGGTAGCCCAAATTCTGCAGGCTGACCATAGATATCAGGTGTGCGTCGGCAGGGGATCGAATCCCGGACTATGTGCATAGTTGAGGAGCGTCCTAACCACTGTGCCACTGATGCACACGTTTGTAGAATTCAGTCAACAACTTTTTGTCAAGTGTTACGCATTAACGGCGAATTATAAAATAGCGCAAACTAAGATTTCTCTGACATCTGTCAGAATTCGCGGGTTATGAGACTTTATGCTCTAGTACTTCAGTACACACGCAAACTGAAGCAATTAATATAGACGAGCACTGATTCACCGGTTTTACTAAGTACTCTAATTATTCTTACGAGCAAGGAAATAACTTGCATACTTTGAATACAAAAGATTCTTCCGTAATGCATTATTAAACCTTAAAGAATGTTAATTTACTGACTTTTGCTGAGTGAATTAGTGCCATCATAAAAATGGGACAATATTCTATGCAAAACTGCTCCAGAATATTAGCAAGCTCCATCTTCATTTGTTCAGTTTATAACAGAAATATTACTGCATTATTTCTGTGTTCACTCTTAGCCTGTTTTCTAATGGTCACCGCATTACTACACTAGTATTTTCTATGTTTCACATTCCGTACACTGTCAGATAAGAGTTGCTTACATTCAAAATACGAACGATGCTGTCAGTGTAAATGACAAATATAGTGTACATTCGAGCTAGCTTAATCGATAAAACCTCACAATCTTATCGGTCGACTCACCTTCCACACCCCAATCGATTTCTAATTTTGTTATTATTATTTTTTTTACCGTGTTATTTGATTACTTGATGATGATTATAGCATCATTAAACTCTGTGCCTGAAAAATTGAAAAATTCTACCCGAGATGACGCACTAAAGTACTTTGTTCTTGTGAAATATCTCTTGACACTAAAGGCCTTATCAAAAAAGAAATAACATTACGGAATCGCAAATGTATAGTGCCAGTATTCGTGTAATCGTAAAATTCATTGCTTAATATCCATTTGAATCAGTAGCCATTGAAATCAACTGAAATCTATTGTATTTATTTAATCAGTGATGACTAACAGCCGTGAAATCCAAAGCGCTTGTCTTGCCCTATTCGGGACTATCGACTATCGATGCATGTGCATTCCAATAGTTGATTTTGTTCCCACTGATACTGAAGTTCAGAACTAGTTGCTTAAAATATCAAAGCATTATCTTATAGGATAGTGAACTGTAGGAGTCAACGATTGCTCAGGTTTTTTTGGATTTTATGATGTTTTGACTTCAGTAGACCAGTGTGCTCGGTTTCTACTGGCATACTGTTATTTTATTTATTTATTTATTTTGATTACAGCTTGATTCCACACTGTACTTTTTCGTACCGGTATGGAATTTTCAGCATGTGATATCGGTAGCCCAAATTTTGCAGGCCGACCATAGATATCAGGTGTGCGTCGGCAGGGGGTCGAACCCTGGACCATGGGCATGGTCCTAACCGCTGTGCTACCGACGCACTTGTATCTAGGAGGTGCTGTCCCCATATAATTCTTATTTTAGTGAGTCTGAGCTGTTTTGTTATTCTCTCCCTCTCCTAAGTCATCGTAAGTGTCTTCTTGTAAGTGGGATTAAATGATTCTACAATTATGAAAAATAGATTTCTAGGTGTATAATTTTCAAAGGGTTTTATTTTGATACTTATAGGCAAGTATTAGCATCTTCGCATTATAAATGGTCATTTAGTGGAGAAACAGTTTATTTCCCGTCTTAATTAATTCTCCTTTGATGCGGAAACATTTATAGGGAAGCTTTCCGACTCTTCTTAATGATATGCTAAGATTATTGCTAACAGTTTCAGTTTATAGTGTGGGTTAAGTGATTTTACAAACCTAATTTTTGAAGCAGTGATCTTTCAAGACGTCGACATTTGACTTCAAAGAATTGTTTAGTTTGTCATTATTATTCTCTTGGGTTCCGTCCGAGTGGAAAATTCGACTTCAGCACCATATCGCCATTTCCCTTTGTTCTGTCCCCTCTCTCTTTTAGCTGGCTCCATAGCTACCCGTAAGCTTTCATTTCCGGCACATCACACAATCTCCGCCATGTTGCCCCCCCAGACTCACAGTCAACTCGTTGTTTTCCATTCAGGTTCCACTCGAGTGTCATGTGAATTGGTAAGAACCAGTGGTGTCCGACAGGGATGTCCACTTTCCCCATTTCTGTTTAACTTCATCATAGATATGCTGATGGAAGTATCCTTAACTGAACGTAATGACTTAGGAATCGACTTGTTACCAGGGAATAATCTTATGGACTTAGAATATGCAGATGACATAGTCCTGTTAGGGGAGGATGATGACAAAATGCAGAGTTTTCTGAACACCTTGAGCAGCAATCTTCGTATGTTTGGCATGCGATTCGCCCCTACAAAATGTAAGATGCTGCTACAGGACTGGACCACGTCAACTCCTAGCTTAGTGATAGGGGGGAGTGAAGTGATAGGACATGTTGACCACTTCACCTATTTGGGAAGTTGTATTAGCACCAACGGACTGATTGGCGATGAAATCTCAGCAAGGATCCAAAAAGCTCAAGCTGATTTCGCTGACTTACACCATCTCTGGCGTAGACGTGACATCCGGTTATCAACCAAGGGACGTGTGTACTGCTCATCAGTTTGCTCCGTCCTTCTCTATGGCTCTGAAACGAGGCCAATACGCGTTGAAGACATGAAAAGGTTGACTGCTTTCGATCATAGATGTCTGCGATCTCTGTCTCACGTTAGGTGGTATAATAAGGTAAGTAATGTTGACGTTAGGCGTAGAGTGTTGGGCAAAGAGGGAAAATCAATCGACGAGGCTATAAAGTTACGTAGAGTGAGATGGCTAGGTCACGTGCTGCGCATGCCTAACCACCGCCTCCCCCGACGGGCATTGCTAGCTAATATAGGTTCAGGTTGGAAAAGAGCCAGTGGTGGCCAAACAAAAACATAAAATCAATCCAAGAAATCCTTGACAGTTAAACTGAGTCAGGTAGGGAGATGCAGACTCCCGGGTTGGGGCCCTCGGGACTCTAGGAATTAATGGCTGGAGACAATAGGTGACATGGCTCAAAATCGTTGTCAATGGCCAGCTCAGATGTATTCAGTCTCTGTAATCTTTCATATTCCTTTCTACCATTACCCATTCTGTTTCACTCTTATTTTGTCAAACTCTATTAATTCTCTTCACTCATCTCCTTGTCTACCTTGTGTGCCAATTGGAACGTGGCAACTCGAACTGCTGCACTTCGGTGTCAAGTTCTATGTTGAATCCAGACAGACAGACAGACGAGTGCCAATCTGGCACATGTTGTCATTCAACGGCCATCTCAGCGTATGTTTAATCCATCTCAATTCTCTTCTGCATATAATTTTGGTCTATGGGTTCTTGGTTGGTTCGTTCCCAGAATTCACTGTCACTAATTCTTTCTGGCTGCCTATCTGATCTTCAGTATGGAGGTAAGGGGTGGGTGAGGGAAAATCAATCGATGAAGTTGTGAATTTACATCGATTGAGATGGTTAGAACATGTGCTGCGCATGCCTGCCTATTGATCGAATTCCTCGACGGTCAATATTATGTGACATAGGATCAATCAGGTTGGAAAAGGCTTCTAGTGATGGTCAAACCATAACATGGCACCAGTCAATGAAATCCACAACAGTTAGTTTAAGCCAGTCACGTACCGAATTGTAAACTGTCAGTATAGTTGGAGTCCTCAGGATGGTAAGAACCAAGGAAGGCTGGAGACAATCGGTGATATACTTACTTACTTACTTTACTTCGGCTATCTCCTACGGGAGGATGAGCCGGCTTCATGAACCATGAAGTTTCATGGGAATTGGGTACGAGTGATGTCCCCAGAATCGCTCGGCCTTTTGTTTGAGAGTGCAGCTCTAGCCTTTACACAACCAAGCGTGACCTACAAGGCAGTAGGAGTGGAGTAGGGAGTCCACTATCCATTGGCAGCCGGTGACCGGTTCATACGCCTTTTTGAATGGGGCCAGTCATCCAGGGCATCCAATAAGCCCTTTGTCCATACGTCTGCCGGTGAGCTTCATACGCCTCCCCCGACGGGCTTTGCTAGCTGATATAGGTTCAGGTTGGAAAAGAGCCAGTGGTGGCCAAACAAAAACATAAAATCAATCCATGAAATCCTTGACAGTTAAACTGAGTCAGGTAGGGAGATGCAGACTTCCGGGTTGGGGCCCTCGGGACTCTAGGAATCAATGGCTGGAGACAGTAGGTGACATGGCTCAAAATCGTTGTCAATGGCCAGCTCAGATGTATTCAGTCTCTGTAATCTTTCATATTCCTTTCTACAATTACCCACTCTGTTTCACTCTTATATTTGTCAAACTCTATTGATTCTCTTCACTCATCTCCTTGTCTACCTTGTGTGCCAATTGGAACGTGGCAACTCGAACTGCTGCACTTCGGTGTCAAGTTCTATGTTGAATCCAGACAGACAGACGTTGGAGGTTTGGAATCAGGGTTTAGCCATCTCCCCTAGACTGTCATCCAATGGACAGTCAACCCGGTGAAGAGCGCCGGGCATCCGCGTTTGCCCTCTCACTTTGGTGAAATAAACACCTCCGCCACGTGAAGGCAGTGAGTAGGACTGGCTTGAAATCGATCTCAATGGCGGCACAAATGCTTTCACTCTTTGTGATTTGTCAGTCATATGCAATCAAAGTACTCTATTTTTCTTCCATGTTACTATTCTTTTCCCGTCATTCACACTTCTGTTTACTTTCTTCTTTTGCTTTGTGTGCTACATGGGGGAGAGTGGTAACTCTTTCACTTCTATGCAAAGTTCTCTGTTGAAACCAGACTGTCAGTGTATTGAACGAAGGCAGCTATTGATAAAAGTTTGCAGGTAGAGAAGCCTGTCACAGATGCTTTTCGTGACTCATCAATTCTTGTTCTTCTTCTTCATCTTTTTCTTTCAGGTTCTTCACAAAATCGATTGGTAAAAATCAATGTTGGATCCAAAACGTACAATATTCTTTATGTGTGATGTACAAAAAAGTCTGTTAAATGTTGTCTTAGACTCGGAGAATGTTACTCTACGTATTTCTAATCTTGTAAGTTATTTTTTATTCCTTCTTTATATCACCCCGGATGGTGATGATGATATTGATTTAGTTAAGTTTAGGTAAAGCACTTGGAATCCCGCTGTTTGTGGCAGAACAGGTAGTCTACATATAAATCTATATAAATATGTATTACTGCTTTTTTTCCCCTACCCCTCATCCCTACTACAATTTAGTATTCTAAAGGTCTAGGCAATACAGTCAACAATTTAGATATTTCGCATGCTCTATGCGTTGTGGACAAGAAAACATTTTCAATGTATCCTGGATTAATTGCTGATAAAATGAAAGAGTTTCGTGATTATGTTGTTGTTTTATTTGGATTAGAAGTAAGTTTTAAAATTGTAATAATCTTTCATTGATTATTGATAATCACAACTATTTATATTGTTACTATTGTTCCCTTGCGTTCCTAGTGGAACATAGGGCTTCAAATGCACGTCTCCACTTACTACTTCTGTCTTGCTATTGCTGTACTTTTCATATCTGCATCCGTTTTAGTTAGTCCATACTGTTTCAACTCCTCTTCACACGATCTCCTCCTTCATCTCACCCTTGCTTGCACTGACGACCCACTAGCCGCTTCCCTTTTGGTCGGGTTCCACTCGAGTGATGGCCTGACGCACGCGCGATGTCACCCAGTGGCGGCCTCCTCAACGAGTGTCTAATCCATCTCTTCACTTTCTCCTGTATATTTGTCGGGCGATTGGTTCTTGTTTTGTTTGTTTGTTCCCATAGTTTCTTGTTGGTGTTTCTTTCCGGCCCGGCCATCTGATCTTCAGTATAGAGCCAGCGAAGACAGTTGTTGTTGATAAAGGTCTGCAACAGGCTGTTGGAAATATCCTTTGTGACACACCCGACAAGTTTCTGATCCTTATAGAAGAACTGACTGACTTGACGTTGTTTGTATTGAAAATCCGACCGAATTTTGCTGTTGATGCTGGCTGAGTGACGAAGATTGGTTTCCAGATTGGTTTCAGGTTGATGAATGTGTTTCTCGCCTTCCCGATTCTCACTCGATTTGACATCCTCATCCTTTCCGACTGTCTGTCGTTGGGACAATGCTCAATGCTAGATAAGTGAATGAAGTGAATAACCGCTTTCAAATCCCTCCCGTTGATGGTGATTGGAGATGGATGTAGCTGCTATTGTTGTTGGTGGTGGTTGGTTATTTTCATAACCTTTGTTTTGTGTATGTTCACCTGGAGTCCTGTCTTTGCTGCTTCTTCGACCAGTTTGTCGGTTTTCGCTTGTAGGTCTTCGATTTTGTGTAACATCAAATCAAAACTATTAATTGTCTATATATATATATATATATATATATATATATATATATATATATATATATATATATCATGAAGAAAATAAAAGACAGATTCAACGAAGAAAATTTTCTTTATCGACAAAATCATCTTCAGAGTCTTTACAGTCAAATTTATATTTACACAAATATATAGTGGTCTATTATTGAGTAATAGGGGGTGACATAATTGATATGATTGATCATAAGTGGCATTAGGAGTGAAAATTAAAATTTGTAAATTACGCGGTACTCAACGGCACAAAAAATAGAAATTCGATAAGGTTAAAACTGCTATTGAGTGAGAATAAAGGTGGTATTTGAGTGTCAATTTAACAATTGTGCAGAGGCTGTGAAAATGTACAAAAGGAATGTATGAGAGTGATACTAGTGAATTAATTATTAAAGCAAAAGTAAAACAAAAAGTAAAATTAAAAAGAAAAATTGAAAGTTTTTTTAACAGTAAACGACTTGTAAAGAGACTGGACAAACTTTTTCTGTATACAGAGTTCGGGGTTGTATTAACGAATTGCCAACGCCCCCGCCATACACAAAAGCCGAAACCTAACACCCTTTGCACCATTTGGCTTCACTTTGTAGATGATCTCGAAAGGTGACTCTGGGGTAGCTACGTGGCCTGAGTTCACCAAATGCTCGAGAATCGAGCTAGTAATTGTCTTGCATTCTTCCTTTGATAACCATGCCGGGTAATGTTCAGAAATGCTTTTGGAAAGTGTGCGCTTTGTGCGGGCGGCGAATATAACTAGCTCCACACGAGCAGGTGAATTTATAAACACACATTAAGGTGACCCGAAGCGGCAGTTTATTCTTCACACATCCATTGATCATTTGTCGGCTGTAAAAATTGACGCGTAGCTCAGCTGTGAGAAGGACATACTTTTAGTTAATTGATTTTTATTGACATACCGGCCCCCAGCAAGGCAGGCACTTCGACGACATTCTGAGGATCAATATGATGTCGTCTGGTGAGGAAATTAACACAGATGAAATCAATGAAAGATAGTCATGAACTGATCACTTAAAAAGATGCTTGAATTGACTATCATTTGCAACTTGTAGAACTACCAGTGGATACCATCCCTCCAAGTCTTGAATGTAATCAAGCTATTGAAAGTCAGCTGGGCAGGCAACAGGACTAGATGGAATTCCTTCTTACTGAGATAGCAGTGGATGTGCTGATGCCACTATTTCAAAAATGCATAGAAAGAGGGAAAGGTACCTACACTGGCTACCTTGTCAAGCTACCGAAGAAGGGTGATTTAGACCCCTGAAAGAACTGGCGCTGCCTCATGCTCTTGTCCATGCCAAGTAAAATATCAAGCCATGTCATCCTGGAGAGAATAAAAGGAGCACGGAATGCAGAACTACGATCGGCATAGATTGGACTCATGAAAGGCAAATCATGTGCTGATCTAATTTCAACTATTCACATCATCGTCGAACAAAAAGCATAGAATGGCAGTCAAATCTCTATGTCAACTTCATCGACTCTGAAAAGACCTTCGACAGACAGCATTGACGGAGAAGTAATTTGGAGACTACTTCAATACTACCGTGTGCAGTTCCCAAATCTTTATCAACCTCATTCAATAGGTATATGGTGATACCGCGTGTTGGATAATCCACTACGGAAAACTCAGTGAGGCTTTCGAAGTGCATACAGGAGTAAGACAAGCTAGCTGCCTATTATCACCCACGATGATATTCCTAATTGTGTAGCACACCGTGAGTCGGGAGACAGAAGACAGGAATACGTTGGATGCCGTAAGAAGTGTCTAGAAGATCTCGATTTCGTGCGTGGATGATTTATGTCTGATGTCACTTACACAAACTCGAAGACCTGCAGGCGAAAACCAACAGACTTGCTACAGAACCAGCAAAGACAGGAAGGATTCCAGCTGAACACAGAGAAGACGGAGGTGATGAGGAGGATAACCAACCAAAAACAATAACAACCAGCACACTAATCATTACCAACGAAAAGAATTTGAATCCGCATTCATTCATCTGGGCAGAATTGTTTCAACTGCAGCCACGCCACACCACGGATGAGGATTTCAAAGCGAGAATCGGAAAGACAAGAATGATGTTCATCAACCTAAAACCAGTTTGGGAATCGGCTCCAATCAACACAAAGAACAAAATTCGGGTTTACAACACCAATGTTAAGTGAGTCAGTCAGTTCTTCTATATGAGTCAGAAAATTGGCGTTCGCGTATGGAAAGCATTTCTAACAGGCTACTGCAGACTTTTGCCAACAGCTGCCGCCTCCCTCTCTGGCTTCATACTGAACATCAGATGACTTGCCAGAAAGAATTATCAGCAAGAAACCCTGGGGACGAACCAATCTGGATCCTATTACTAATCAACAAATTTTTCTGAAAAAAATTGCAGATATATCGGATATACGCTAAGGAGACTTACTTTTTTTTTACTTTACTTCGGCTATCTCCTACGGGAGGATGAGCCGGCTTCATGAACGTCTCGAATCATCGCTGCCCAGGCGCGGCAATTTGTAAGAGAGTTCATGAAGTTTCATGGGAATTTGGTACGAGTGATGTCCCCAGAATCGCTCGGCCTTTTGTTTGAGAGTGCAGCTCTAGCCTTTACACAACCAAGTGTGACCTACAAGGCAGTAGGAGTGGAGTAGGCAGTCCACTATCCATTGGCAGCCGATGACCGGAGTTCGGTTCATACGCCTTTTTGAATGGGGCCAGACATCCAGGACATCCAACAAGCCCTTTGTCCATACGTCTGCCGGTGAGCTCCAGTGAGCTTCATACGCCAATCGTTGGAGGTTTGGAATCAGGGTTTAGCCATCTCCCCTAGACTGTCATCCAATGGACAGTCAACCCGGTGGAGAGCGCCAGGCATCCGCTTTCGCCCTCTCACTTTGGTGAGAAACACCTCCGCCACGTGAAGGCAGTGAGTAGGACTTCCTCAGGAGAGGCTATGTAAGACGCCCGGTCATATGGGAGCATTTCACGAGGTGTGCGGAGGGGTGGCCAACCCGCAGCGCAAGGCACCCACCCCCGACCATCCTGAGGCTTTGGAGGCTAAGGAGACGGTTGATTGACATTGCACTCCAGGCTGTCCCTCGACTGCATCCCGAGTGAAAAACGATGACTTTAGAGGATGACATGAAGGAGATCGTGTGACGAGGAGGAGGAGATGAGAGCTTGTGAACAATAGTGGAGGCAGCTGAAGAGAATAGGACAAAATGAAGATGTTCCTTTGAAGCCCTATGTTCCACTTGGTACTCAAGGGAATATTAATGGTATTTGGTGAATGGTGACTAGCATTAGAATCTAGCATGCGCACTTCGTTTTGTTTGAGATTCGTCAACAGAGGCCGACCCGTTGCACAAGAGGCGACTCACACAGTCCAAGTAACTGATTGGATACTGCTTTGACTTGGTTTCAGTCTCAGTGTTAGGGGAAAACGATCACTCACTGGAGATTTCCAATACACATCCTGCTGATGAGCCCGAAATAGGACGAAGTACACATCCTAGATTGTACCGCCTGTCAGTCACCAACTATTCTCTAGTTCACATCGAATAAGCATAATTAAGAGGTGGGTTTTGGTGGATATTGTACCATTCATTCTCTTATCTGTGCTGCGCTCGTCAACATCACTCATCAATCTGCTAAAACTCTTGTGCTTTTGTCTTCTCCTGCATTCATTTTCATTCAGACGCATATATGTGTTCTTCAAACAGCTTTACAATTAATAGAAGATAAATACAAAGTTGTCATTGTGGCTGATGCCTGTAGTTCTCGAAGTGCTGTTGATATGCGGATCGCTTTAAAGGTGAATTTTATTTTATTATTTTTTTTGTTTTCAATATTTTCGTTTCTCATTTTTCTCTGATACTGAGTATTTATTAAGACAATTTTTAGGTTTAAGGACATTTAAGAAACATCTGCATATTTTATTCTATGAGTTTTGTGGAGGTATGAATCCCTGAGGGTTGGTACGCACTGATGAAGAGTCCCGAACTGGGATGAAACAACTATTCAGTGTTCCTTCGTTTTCAGTACATCTCTAATTCATATTGGTTCGTGATAAAATCTTTTTGTATTTTTTTTGAAACTACATGAAATTTGGTTATAAGTTTGGCTACCAAGTGACTTCAGTTCGAGTACCATTGAATTGAAGTGAATTCATTTTATTGCATTATGGCTTTACTCCACGCAGTATTTTTGATACAAGTGTATGGAATTTCCAGCATGTGATATCTGTAGCCCAAATTATGCAGGCAGACTATTGACATAAAGTGTGCGTCAGCCTAGGATCGAACCCCGGACCATAGGCATGGTTGGCAAGCGTCCTATCCGCTGTGCCACCCGTTTCATCCTCGTCTGGGATGAGAGATAACTATTCTGGGTTCTGGGTAAGGTCCATGGGAGGACAAGGGATTGAAAGAAATTCTTCTAAACACAAAGATTGGGCTGGAAAATCCTTCAAGGTGACTATCCCAGCTATGCTTGTCAATCGAAGACTTACAAACATAGGCAATTGTAAAGGCTGAATTTTTACCAATCCTGTGATCCGTCGATATGCACAAGGTGTGTCAATAAGAAACTCCCGGTTGACTTTACAGCTCCTTGATCTAACCAAGTTGAACAGTTACAGGATTTCATCATGAGTTGACATTGGTTAGAGAACCATTGGAAAACCTGGGAGTACTGGACAGCTGTCTCGTTCTAGTTTGGGACTCTTCATTAGTATGCACCCACAGGCAGGGTTCGAACCCAGGACCTTCTGGTTACAAGACGAACTCCTAGACCATTGAGCCACTGGGACCCGATCCAATGGCCCAAGTTAAACAGTGCTGAAGAAGGTGACAATGGGCTTGCTAAGTCGTTCAACTTATGTATGTAACTGTCTCCACAAGAACAGTTAAATTGTGGTGACAGCTGGCTGTTAGTCAAAATCGGTGGACAGTATTTTACGTCAATGTTTATGTCCCCAATATTGGTCGTGAGAAAAATGAGAACAAAGGCTTTGCGTAGGCGGATACAGTTAACATATATAGATGATCTGATATTCAAGAAACAGCCACAAAGAGATGAAAGATTAACTTTCTGCGAGAAACAACCAATCAGAGGACTGTTTTTTTTTTGTTAACAATAATCTATAATAATGTACATGCAAATCTATAAATATGTGTTGATTTGCTTAATAAACGATCTGTTGCCTGCTTTTTGTCTTCTGTTGATACAAATTTATAAATGAACTTCAGGTGAGCAGACTGAGCAGCTTATCTTAATTCTGGACAGTATTTCTAAAATTTATAAAATGTACAGAATTTTCAGGGGAGTTTATCGCATGATATTTTCCCTTCGTACAAATTTTGATTTTTGATTTACAGCTTGATTCCACACTGTATTGTTGGTACAAGTGTGGAATTTTCAGCATGTGATATCGGTAGCCCAAATTTTGCAGGCCGACCATAGATATCAGGTGTGCGTCGGTAGGGGATCGGACCTCGGACCATGTGCTGCATGGTCGATGAGAGTCCTAACCACTGTGCCACCAACGCACAATCTTCAAGTAAAATATTAATTTTCAATGGTTGGTTTGTAAGGATTAGATTTATTTCGACGAGTTGATCACGGATTGATATGAGTTAGAGAACCGTTGAGTGCTGGTCGCGCTAAATGACGAACTCGTAGAAATTAGAATTCATACACTGGCTATTGATTTGGGTCCCAGTGGCTGAACGGTATACGAGCTGACCTTGTAACCGGAAGGTCCTCAGTTTAAACCCCTTTGGTAGGTGCGTACTGCCGATGATACCCAAACTAGTGGGATGAAAGAGCTGTCCAGTACTCCCCTGTGACTGGTTTTCAACGGTTCTCTAACTGATATCAATCCGTGATCAACTAGTGAAAATATTAATTGATGGAAGTATATCCTGTGACACACAATGGTTTCTGAGCTGATGAAACACAAACCATTCCATTATGATAATATTTCTGCTTCGTCTCCTTCAAGAAATCTACGATATCTAGTTGAAAGCCAATTATAAGGTGTTCAGAAGTACATTTTTAGACCCAAGAACATAACTGAAGAACAGTTATCTGATGTATTGGAACAGATTGTTGGGCTGTTAACTGGTTACATTCCTATTTCTCAGATAGAAAGCAGTACACCGTATATAAAGGGAAGTCTTCCACTTCATTGCCTACTGAAGCTGGTGTCTCTCAAGGTGCTGTTCTTTCTCCTTTTCTTTTTTCTTTCTTCTTGCATGACTTGCCTCACTCTGATGAAATAAACTTTGTGAAGTACGCTGATGATTTAACGGTTTCAATGGCTGTTAACTCCCAGCTAGATTGTACTAAAATAAATAGCTTTCTATCGGAAGTCAGCAAATGGTCTGAGTCTAACAGTCTTAAACTGAATCCTTCTAAGTGTCAAACTGTTGATTTCAGCTTAAGGTGTAAACGACAGTTAAAAGAAGTCATCGATTCTCATGACAGTTGTAAAATTGACGACAATGATATAGGAATCAAATCAGAAATTAAGTATTTTGGACTCATTCTCTCTTCTGATCTCTCCTGGACTTCCTATGTCTTAGCAATCTCCAGTAAAATATTCCGCCCGACATTTTACATTAAGAAGTTAAGACACTCGGGTATAACTCAACCCCTCCTCTTACAGTTCATAAACTCTTGCATCCTACCTATTCTTCTTTATTCTTCACCCTTATTCTTTCCTGGTTTGCTTAAAAGGGACTATGTCACAATTCGTAGAATACTGAAGACTGTCAGTAAGGTGAGTGGTGTCCCAGTGGACCACATAGTTAACGTCGTTGTCGATAGGCACTTGACTTCGTGCAATAAATTTATTAAAGGGATTTTGTCTGACTTAGATCATCCGCTTTACCCTCAGCTTTCACCTTGCATCTCCTCAGGTAGAACAAGGAGTAACTTCAGAAAACTGTATGCTCGCACGTCTAAGTATAGAAATTCTATGATACCATACTTGGCACGTATTTTATGTGATGATGAAAATAGTGTCAGACAAGAATTAACTAACATTTTTTCATCTAGTAAATAAACAATTTCCTCCATCCATCCATCCTTATATACCTTCAAGTTTTACTTTTATTATTTCTATTATATTTATGGTCCTGTTACTTCTCTGTTTTTTTACTCTATGAATTGCAAACACCAACTTATCTCCATGACGGCTGTAATCACCATATTATGTAAAGAGAACATTATATTCAATATTTTTTAAACATGTTATGATTTCTATATCACATTGCCAATACTGTGTGACACAAGCCAACGGCCATTTTCACTAGTATTCTTCTTTTATTATTATTACCCTGGCTGTTATCATTATTATTGTTATTTCCATTTAATATGCTGCATGTTTTTGACACTACCTCTATTGTAAATGTGAAAAATTTTCTGAGTGATTATTTTTATTTATAATTTGAGGAAATTAGATGCAGTAATATTGTGATTAATGCTGAAAATTCCATTCTGTATCACAAGTACTGGTTTTCGAATAAAGTAAATCATTATTATTATTATATTCATATTTTTTCAAAAGCACACTTCTGAATATTCTTCATTTGATGTCCAGCAAATTCATGGGTAGTTATAAAGCAAATGTGGCCGCCAGCAGCCAACAGACTTATTTTCGGTGTTTTCACACACCTTAGTCGTAGGATCTGTTTACGATGATTGTTACTGTGCTCTTATTCAGCAGGCACATCTGGAGGCGTTCAGTAGATCAAACTCTCCCCAATGTGGTCTAGTTTCACTTCAAGATTTTCAAGGAAATCTACTTATGCAAAAATCATTTCTGATTGCATACCATGAATGCTGTGAAATCAACAATAATCCTTATGCTCCAGAATTCGTAAAAGCTGCTCTGCAGAGACAATTGATAGGGAACTACATAACCTCCGATCAAATTTCTTTAAAAATGGTTATCCCACAAGGTTTATTGAATGTAACATCAATAAAGAATCCGTCCGTAGACAAATCACAGTTCCAAAGAAAAAACTGTTTATGAGTCTGGCATTTAAAGGTGACACCATTTCGGAATTGATTAAAAATCGTTTATCTAAATGTATTGAACGCACCTATCCTGCAGCTAACTTGCATCTAGTTTTTACCGGTCAGAATATGATGAGACAATGCGTCAAGGATAGATTACCACTTATGTCCACATGTATGTGCATTTACTCTTTCACCTGTTCCTGTGGAGCTGATTATATTGGACGCTGTAAGCGTAATCTCCGAAAATGTGTAGCTGAACACTATTCGGTTTGGTTAATGAAAGGCGAACGTAGAACTGCGAAGTTGTCTATTTGTGATCACCTGTTAGAGTCTGGTCATTTAGCCCCACATGATTCACCTTTCAGGGTTATTTACATGGCAAATCGAATCGATCCAAAAGTTTACGTTTTCTTCACTTATGCATAGCTAGCCGAAGCTTTAGCTATACATGAACAGAAACCTAAATTATGTGTTCTAAAACATTTTGTCAAACCCCTTCCTTTACCTTGGTCATAGTATTGGTCTTTTTAGTTTTTATTTTATTTCACCACTTGAATTCTTTCCCCTTCACTTCACATCTTTATTCTTATCGTAATCGTACTCCTAATTTCTAAAATTTTTAGACAACATTTGACATTTTTGATATCAATTCACTTATAAAACAATCCCTAATAATTTCGTAATTTATCCACTTCAACTCCATCTACCCCTTATAACATTTTAATTATCGTTATTCTTATCACTTATATATGTCTATTGACTGAGCAATTATTTAGTGCTACTTAATAACCTTTTTCTGTAATATAAATACGACTTTTCAGCTTGAAAATGAAGTCTTTAATTGGTGGGTGATGACTAGCAGTGGAATCCAGGATGAAGCGCATTTCGTCTTATTTGGGACTCGTCAGCTGGTTGTACCTGCATTTCACAGTGGGTGATGATTTTCCCACCGAGGCTCGAACCCAGTTCGCATAGTTTCAAACGCCAAAGCATTATTCACTAGACGACTTGGGCCACGATAGCCACCACATCTTGTGCAACGTGTTATATTAATTAAATGAAGTTGTTGAAAATAAATTTCTTCGCTCAACAAAATACTGTGTTTCTGTGTGTTTAACTGTAAATCCTGGTTTTGCTGCCTACCTCTTCTGATAGTTTGTTGGTTTTCGCTTGTAAGTCTTTGAATTTAGGTGACATCTAGCACAAATCATCCGTGGAGATGAGATCTTCTAGAGTCTTCTTCTTGGTCAATCCAACGTATCCCTGTTTTCCTGCTTCCCCACTTACAATGTTCTGCATAATCCAGTCGATGACGATTGAAAATATCATCGCTGGTGGTTGTAAGCAGCCTTGTCTTCACTTGAAAGGCTTCTTCGCTGATGTTTTCTCGTTGTGGATCACTTGACATATGGCGTTGAAAAACAAGTAGGCCCTTGACAGCTGTTTTCGCCCATTTTGAGCCTCTTCAGTAGTGCACACTGATGTTAGTTCGTGATGAAATCTACATTGAAACTAATCCCTATCTCTACATAATCCCTGAATCTAAATATCAAATAAACATCAATGTATTTTATTTGCGTAGTATGTCATTAAATCATATGAAGCTGTAACGTAGTTACCTCAACTGTCGACTCTATAATGTCAACCTCCGAAAACAATTAATTATACATCATATATATATACGTGTATATACGTACAAATATGTTGGATGCGGTTATATTTTTATTATTCATTTACTTTCTATAATAATCAATAAATTTTAAATAGAGCGGGAATTATAAACTATTTGTTTAAATGCGTCACTACATAATATGGCAGGTTGTTTATCATCATTGTTATTATTATTATTATTAGCGTGAAGCTAAACGTCGCCATAATATATTTTCGCGCAGTGTATGGGTTATCGCGTTTACGCCTACAGAGGCGTTATAATCGTTCAGTTTTGTGAAAATAGATTAGATTTGACAAGTTTTAGGCTTCTGTAGCCGAAAAAAGCAATATTTTGCTGTATTTTGTTCGTAGTAATGCGTAAAGTTGTCTTGATAGCCCAGACGAATTATTACTAAAATTTTGCATAGAAACACTATTATTTGCGTTTTAAAGCCTTAAGGCTTTGTTGTTTGCGAGTTGTCTTATATCTTAAGGTTGTAAATTGACTACAGGCAATGGTTATCATCATCCCAGTTATTCTATGAGAATCGAGAATTTGAGAGAGAAATAGCCTACAGACATAAGTTAGATTTGCGTTTTGAGTATGTTAAACACTTCTGCTATCATCCGTGATGACTGAAATATTCCATAACACATCGAAGATATCATGCGATGAATGAGACAAGTTGCTGAATTTCCTGATGAATATACCTACTTCGATGAAGTTCCTAGGTGAAATTGCTTAGGCGAAGATGTGATACAAGTTTAATTTACATTTGCACATAGAATTTCAGAAGACCGTAATTGCTCAGTGCATGAAATGGCATTAGATTATGTTGATATCAGAGCGCATTGGTGCACAAACTGACTGCATGCTTCTGTGCGTGAAGGGAAAGTTGGTGAAAATGAAGATAGAATGAAGTTTCCTAATAAACTCATTATGAATTCTGTAAACTATTGATAAGAAACTGCATCAGAGGAAAAAACTTCCGAATAGGTAGAAAATATTGCTACAGTTTCAATGATTATTGCCTTTTACAATTTGTAAATCATTTTGCAAAAGTTCAGAATAATGCCAAAACATCAATGCTACATCATAGGCCCTACAGAAATTCGTCAGAGATCTTACATGTCAGGTTGTCTCATGAATTCTAAGTTTGCAGAACTTTCAATTAACCTGTCACTGAAATATCATTATTATTATTATTCCATCTTTTAATGTTTTTGCTTTCAGCGTTTAACTTCAACTGGGGCAATGATCACCACAACAGAATCATTATTATTTGAAATTATAAAAACAAAAGATTCGGCACAATTTGATTTAATTAAAGAAATGATTAAAATACATTTACCAGATCATCCAGCTTTGGATAATTTTTAAACAAAACTTTTTTGTCTTCCTTCCTGTGTTTTGATGTGGCATACCTTTGTTATTATTTATAAAAGAAATTTATTTTTACTCTGTGGTTCCTTTTTCTATGAAAAGATTAATATACATTTATATTCATATATGTGTGTGTGTGTATGTGTGTGGTTTTACAATTAATAGTTGCGGAGCTTTCATCATCCTTCTAGACAACATCTTCAGCGCAGTATTTAGCATAAAGTGTTATGTACTGCTGTTGAGTGAGTTATTCGAGTTTTCCCCGTCGCCAGTTATGTTGTGTACTCGTCGAGTAGTTAATAGTCCTGACGCCGTGGAAAGAGGGAAATCAGAATCAGAAATCAGGTTTACGATGATACTTGTATTTTCCAGACAAGGAAAATGTTATGTACTCGTCGCCAAATTATTGTTATGTACTGGTCGAGAATTTAATAGTCCTGACGCAAGAAAGACGGAAATCAGAAGACCACTAGGGTTGCGATGATACTTCTATTTTCCAAACACAAGGAGAATCAAGTGACACAAGAGTGTGAGAGCAAAAATATATATGAATATCCAAACAAGTGAGTGAACAAATCAATAGACAGTCTTAACATGATTGGCTAATTATAATGGAGTATCGAACCATATATATATAGCAAAATATATCAGACTGTCAAAAACACATTATATCTAATATAAGGGGAATATACATTGTTAAAGGAGACAGGTTCATCAAAGTGAAATGGTCACAGACTAAGAGAGCAACAGAAAGAGAGACCACCATACACATATATATGGATACATATCAGAAAATAAATGTCACACAAGTATGTGAGTGAAATGGTGCTTAGTGTACGAAACGTGTGTGAACAAGAATACAGTACAAAAGTATATATGAAAATGACTAATACACATGAACCAATAAGATAACGTTTTACCATGATTTGTTGTAATGTCATGTGATAATAAGGTCATAGATTGTTTATTTAATTAGTGGGCAGACAAAAGCATAATGTCAGTTATAATGCAATATTGAACCATATACACCTAGCAAAATATAACAGACTGTCAAAAACAAAACACACATCATGTGGATACATATCACAAACCTACGTGTTTTGAAAAATATAACAGATCTTCATACGGACAAAATTTCAAAACAAAAAAAACAAAACAACTCAAACATGCTGCGTGTGTGTGTGAATGGTCTCATGCAGCTGTTTTCTGTCCTCTGCGATCAACCAATTCTAATTAGCTTTCAACTTCAAGTATCTCATAAGAAGAAATTAACTTCTGTGGTGTCACCATCAGCGAAGCAGTAATCGCCTTTTCCATTTCCGCAAACACACAGTTTTCCTAGTCATCAATAATGATCGACCAAAAGGAATAGACAGTTATTATCATTACCTGGAAACTGCTAGTGAAGATGGTGATTAGGGTCGCTTAGGGTGTAGAGGAATGTTTCACCAGTAGACATTATGATGCTTTAGACTCCTTGTAGATTCATTACGACCAACACTATTTTTTTTTGTCAGATGGCATAAACAACATATGAAATTGCATATTACTTATTCAAGAATGTAGGGCACAAGCAGTAACTGAATTTCATACTTGAAAAGGCTTAGGAATGAATGATCTTCGATCTAAAGAAATTGACCTGTTTTTTTTGGAGACAGAGATTAGATTCCATTGCTGGAAATAAAAAACAAAATTGGTATAAATTTTATCATTGTTGTGTCCATCTAGTAGTCATTTGGGGGGGGTGGGGTGTTAATCTTTTACGCGCTGCATAAAATGTATGCCATGGAGAAGCAACTAAACACGTAATTAGCAGTTTAATTTAACGTCTGTTGGTGGAAACTTCTTTTTATTTCATATTCCATTTATGTCGTATAATCTGAACAGGATATCATTTTTTTTATTTGGATTGTTTCATATCCTTCAAGGGAATTCCGAGAAAATATATTGCACTGATTAAGGCACTCTACTCGTACTCATACAGCCAGGTGAGGGCTTACGGCGAGCTGTCATCTGAACTGATGACGACCAGTGGTGTCCGTCAGCCACGGATGCCCATTATCCCCTTTTCTATTCAACTTCATCATAGATGTGTTAATGGACTTAACCCTAGGTGACTTCAGCGACTCAGGGATTGACTTGTTACCAGGGAATAATCTCGTTGACTTGGAATATGCAGACGATATAGTCCTTCTAGGCGAAGACGCTGACGAAATGCAGAGTCTTCTAAACACCTTGAGGTGCAATCTACGAATGTTTGGCATGCGAGTGATTCGCTCCCGCCAAATGCAAGATGATGTTACAGGACTGGACTACATCGACGCCTAGTTTAAAAATAGGAAGTGAAGTGGTAGAGCACATTGACCGCTTCACTTATTTGGGAAGTACCATCAGCCAACGCCAACGGGTTGATCTCTGACGAAATCTCAGCACGAATACAGGGGACTCGTTTCGCATTTGCCAGTTTACGCCGACTCTGGCATAGACGAGATGTTCGACTATCGACCAAAGGGCGGGTGTACTGCTCATCAGTCCGCTCCGTCCTCCTTTATGGCGAGCTGTGAGACCTGGCCACTGAGAGTGGAAGACATGAAAAGACTAGCTGTCTTTGATCATAGGTGCCTGTGCTCTATTTCCCGTGTAAAGTGGTATAATAAGGTGAGCAATATTGAGGTTAGGCGTAGAGTTCTAGGTAAACAGGGGAAATCAATCGACGAAGTCGTCAAGTTACAAAGACTGTGATGGATAGGAGATGTGTTACGTATGCCAAGCCATCGCCTCCCTCGACGAGCAATGTTAGCGGATATAGGGTCAGGCTGGAAAAGAGCTAGCGGCGGTCAAACAAAAACTTGGCACCAGTCAGTGAAATCGACAACAGTTGGTCTAAGCCACGTAGGAAGGTGTAGACTTCCTGACTGGTTGGGGTCCTCGGGACGGTAAAAATCTATGGTTGGAAACAATTGGTGACATGGCTCAAACTCATCGTTCTCAGTGGCCAGGGCAGATGCATCCACTCCTTTTGACTTATGATGTTCAATGAAACTGTTTTGTATTTCTTTATTACTCCTTTGTCTCACACCTCTGCTCACTGTCTCTATTATGCTTTCCTTGTACTTTCTTCTCTTGCTTCGCGTGCTACACGGAGTGTGGTGACTTGAACTTCCGCACATTTGTGCAAAGTTCTATGTCGAAAACAGACAGACAGATATCCTTCAATCTATTTTATGAACTATTCGATTGTATAACTTGAATTTAATTTACTGATGGTGACTAGCAGTGGTATCCAAGATGCTCATTTCCTCCTATTTTGAGACTCGTAAGTAATGGTTTTCCCACTGAGGTTCTAACCAAATGCAAAGTGGTCTGTCTAGTGGATATAACGCCTTGGTGTTTGAAACTCTATAGGTGTTGGGTTGGAGTCTCAGTGGGTGGAACACCATCACTCACTCATTGGGGGAATGTAGATACATCCAACAGCTGATGAGTCCCAAATAGGAAGAAATGCGCATTTCTGACTGAATTCCACTGCTAGTTACCATCCACCAATTTACTTTAAGCCAGGTGATCAGACATCGTAGAAGCATCTGCATAAGGAGCTAACATGTCAACCTAACGCCGAGCAATTGGATCCAATCAATCAACGGAAAATTCCAAATTTAATTAAATTATTAGATTGTATATTCTAATTTCTAACAGAGTCAAAATAATTCTATGAATATATGTGTAAAACTTGGGCACTGTGGTAGTAAGTAATTCCATATTAGCTTGTTTATTAGATGTATCACACAGTGAGTGAAACAGTATTATTATTTACTGGATGACAAGGTTTCGAACAAAATTCATTATTGTTCATAATCATTTCATCAATAATAATCAGACGACTTCGAAACTTGAGTTTTATTGTTTTCTTTGTCCTCTCCTATTTGTAGTCGTGTGGGTAGTAGAATTTTCCACATATCTGGGACATTAGATTTTAAAATTCTAGGTAACTGCATGTAGTGCTGAACTATTCTCTAGATTTCTAATCTTACTCGGGTCAACCAATCTAGATTTTGCTAGGTTTTTGTATTCAGCTAGTCTGGCTGCCCCCGTTCTACTGGTTTGACTTAGGTATTTGACCTGACAATCATTCCAGCAGGGTATTGGATAAACTAAACTGTTTTGTTTTCAAGACTTCACAGGAGTGATCCTTTAACCAACAAAGCTTGTTTCTAATTGAGTTTGTGGTTGATTTGAATACCAGCCGCTTTTATTCTTGCCTTGTTAAGAATTCTGCGTAAGGTGGTTTCCGAGGTTCCTTCCTTGTATGGAATTACTCCTGATGGTTTAGATTCCTTATTATTGGTTTTGTCTTGCGCACATTTGAGTTGCATGTCGTCATTAATATTATTATTATTATCACTATCACTACTATCATTATTTATTTTATTTTTACATTTCGCTATACATTTCCTGACTAATTTATCCGGGTAATTATTAAGTTTCAAGGCTTCTCTTATGTGTATCACTTCCTGTCTTAGATTTTCCTTGGTACTACTTAGTTTTTGTGCTTTATGACTTAAACATTTCACCAATCCCATTTTTACTGACATAGGATGGGATGATCGGAAGTCCAAGTGTTGGTTTAAATGTCTGCGTTTCCTGTTAACACTAGTGTTTAACTTCCGCTCTTCTTTCCTTTTTACGTTGCAATCTAACATTGGAAGCCCCCTTCTTGACTTTCCCATTCATAAGTGAATTGAATCGCCTCCACCTTTGAGTTAATGTGTTCAAAAAATCTTACTTGTGTTCTAAGTACAGTGAATGTGTCACTTACATATCTCCACCATACTTTTGGGGTGGGCGTGAACGTTTCAATCGCTATGCTTTCCCACCTATCCATGAATATATCTGCTACAATCGGGATAATGGTGATCCCATGGAAAATTCTACTACCTCTACGACGACAAATGGGAGAAAACAAAGAAAACTATAAAACTCACGTTTCAAAGTTGTGTGATTATAATTGATGAAATGATTATGAACCGCAATAAATTTTATTCGAAACTGTCTCATCCAGTAAATAATACTGTTTCACTGACTGTGTGATATATCTAATAAACAAACTAATATCAAAATAATTCTATTGAGAAAGTGTATGGCTTACACTTGTTCCGACTGTTAAAAAATTTTGACTAACTAATGTCAGCTAATGATGAAATCCTGAAACCAACCAAATCCCTACAAACCAACACTTGAATACCAATCAGATGCTCACTGGAGACTGGCCCTATTCAGGTAGGTAGTTACCTGGGTTCCAGTGGGAAGTCGTGACCAGTAGGGTGCAGCGGGTCGGGGTGTGTGAGGACAAATACTCACCGAAGACATTGGCTAGCGGTCGCACTATGTCGTGAATTGGCAGAAGTTGGAATTCAAGGACCATTGGATCGGGTCCCAGTGGCTGATGAATGGTCTACGAGCTCGCCTAGTAACCGGAAGGTCCTGGGTTGGAATCCCGGTGGGTGCGTACTGCTGAATTGGAGTCCCAAACTAGTCTGACAAAACAGCTGTCCAGTACTCCCTGGCAGGTTTTCCAATGCTTCTCTAACTAATGTCAGCTCATGATGCAGTTATGCGGTTGGGACTGATTTTTATCGAATAAAATGATGGTCTCCTTATATTAGAGGTCAATTTCTTATTGTCTGACATTTTTGTGACTCAATGAAGCATAAGCTG